AATAAAGTCAATTGACCTTATTTCCGTCGATCTTATTACCTGTCACCGACTGTTAGTCGATTAACAATGATCCGCGGTATTTTCAAAGCCGTTTTCTCGTTCAATAAATAAGTGTGATTAGTTTATAGTCGCTTGTTGAACTAGAAATGAAATTCACAGTACCATGGAAAAGCGATAATCGAATAGTTGTCGTTTACCTACTACTAATCTACGCTCGCAATAGGGGTGTTTTACACTTTGGAGACCGTCTTCGCCCAGTATCTGAATGTTTAATTTCATAAATGGCCTAAGGTTAGAGTCCACTTTTATGGAGCCAGCACAAAAGATAGGTGACTTTTAATCCCCTTAAATGATAATAATAAAACAACGGTTTGGTCGTTATTACAGAGAATTTAGGAAAGGTATGTTTCAGCATAATAAAATTATTCACAAAACACAAGAAAACTTGGTTTATTAACTTCTATTCATAAAATATTTGAATTAGTTAATCTATATCTAAAACGTTTTGGTACACAAAAAAGAAGTCAGTGGCACCGTTCCATCGGCAGGTAATTTCGGCCCATTTCTGTTATCAAGAATCTACTCATAAAACACCAACCTCCTTCCGAAGGCGGCGTAAAATCGTTGGTTCTTTCAATTGTGTAAAAAGATGAAAACGTGCACAACGCCAAGCTTCTCCGGCCAAGCACTAAGCAAAATGTGCCGAGCGCGGATTGTTTTTTTTTTCTTTTTAATGGATGTACATTTAAAAGGTAAGCTACTTATATCCAACAAATAAGCAAAAATTTTGATGATTAATTGACTGGGTGATAAAAGCTTATATCCTGAATTTTTTCCCATAAAGAAACCGTAAATTGTACCCAAAGGAAGATGACTCAATTGTTAATCCCTGTTTTCGCTCTCCTTTATTCTAGTCCCAAGGAATTATCATAATCTTTATATGTCCCTTTTTCCTTCGTTTAATCCTAATGTAGCACCGACGAGGATGCCCGCCAAGCAATGATGCATGATCGTGAAAAAATCAATGAGGTTCAAGTACGTTTATTGCTTTCCTCACGCGCTGAAATGCAAAAAGTTATAGAAACTGCACGTCAGCAGTCGCTGCTAGCCCTCAAGAATGCTGCTGCTTTGTCAAGCATCAAAGCCCCCGTGTCGTCACCGGTTTTACCCACACCACAACCACCAGTTATTACCCACAATAGTTTACATAATATACTTTCCAGTGCTGCACCATCATTTTTGGCTTACCAGAAACAAGCTGGTATCACTTTGATAGAAAATCCCCATGAAAACAGCCCCACTGAAATAAAAGATACATATCGTAGTAGCGTTGAAAAAAGTCGCGATCGTCGTCGCTCCGCATCGCGTGATCGCCGTCGATCACGTTCACGTGACCGCAGCGATCGAAGTGATCGTGGCAGTTCACGTCGAGGTCGGCGTGATAGAAGTCACTCCCGATCGCGAGATCGCGATTGGAAGAGTCGACGCTCTAGCCGACGTTCACGCAGTCGAGAGCGTAGTCATGATCGGAATCGGGAACGTAGCACCGATCGTAATCGAAATTCGAGTCGTAGCACTGCAAATAATAAAGAGCGTGACAATGGCCACCAATCCAGTAAGTCTATAAGAGACATAGCGAGTAATAAAATTGGCAACAAATTACCGGATACAAATGAAAGTGTCAGCGCTAAAGTGGGCAGCATTCCCTCTTGGGGAATACCTGCCATGAATTCGTACCAAACAAAAAGTTCAGATAATAATGCAACAGCTCTAAGCAACTCTGCCACATTTGGTGTAGCAGCCACTGGTATGAATAGTATGTTAAATCCCTTTAGTATGGGCGGTGCAATTCCAGGCATACGTAGCGCTCAGATAGCGAACTCCTACACCAGCACCGCTGTCAATAAAAGCCCAGATTCTCAAGCTAACCTGAGCTCCGTAAATATACCAGCCGCCAGCATGGTACCAGCATTCCAAAGCTATTCTTCTTCAGTCTCAACCACTAACAACTACAGCATCAATTTGTTCAACTCGAATTCGAACAGTAGCGACTCTGCCAAACCTTTTGCTTTGCAAAACCCCTACACAGCAGCAGTTCAACAAGCAACAATGAATACCAACTCGGTAGACTCGACTAGTTCCGCATCCGGTAGTCCCACGCAACAGAGCAGCAACACAATGTTCCCTGGTCTCAGCTTAATGGACAAGAAACCGGATCTTAAATTGCCACAAGCAGATTCAACCATTTCCACAGCTACGGTGCCGCCCGGCGGTCAGTTACCGCAAGAGCCAATCGCTTTCGCCAATACAAACCCATATGCACAGATGTATCCCAATCTGTTTGCACAAGCCGCTGCTGCCAGTGTTGGCAAACTGAGTAGCATTCAACAGAAAACACGCGAACCAGAAATGCAGCGGTCAAAAGAGACATCGAAGGAGAGTTGCTGCCTCAAGATTAGCAACATGTGCAGCAGTACGACCTACAGCGACATACNCATGATGCGCAACCATACGTTGCTGAAGTCGAAGCCAGTTAAAATGGAGATTGTGAGCGATGATGAATTCGAGCAAGCCGAGGACAGTTTTCGCCCTCAAGGACGATTCGAGCGTAGTGATCGCAGTGAGCGTAACTATCAAGATAGTCGTAGTGACTACGATCGTCACGACGATGATGGTGATGGTGGAGAATCGAACTACCGCGGTGATCGTGGGGGAGCTTTTGACAATGAATTGAAAAGATGAACCATACACCGTACTCTGCATTGAAGATATACCCAATGCGGGAGCTGAGCACGATATTATGCGTATGTTCTCATCGTATGCTATTTAGATATACTCCTAACACCGAGTCGCGAAAATAGGCGGGAATTCAAAGGGCATGTGCTATTCTCACGCGCTGAAGAAGCTAAAGCGGCATACGAGGATAGATCTAGACATACGATTGGCTATCGGAAAGTTCGTGTGCGTCCATGTACGGTAGAGGAAATGGAGAGAGAAAAAGAGAAAGTACGTTTGGCGAATGAGCAATTGATGAAAGAAGAGGAAGCCTTGGCTGAGGCGGAGGCAGAGGCAGAGGCAGAGGCGGAGCGGCTCAAAGAAGAGGAAAATCAAGGAGGAGAGGATGATATGGATGTAGCGGATGATGCGAGTAGCGTTAATGGCGGCGAAGGGCCGAAAAACGACGAGCAAAGTGAACCGAACGTGTTGTCGGACCCCAGGAATCCCAAGATACCAAGTCTTTTCGATCTACCTGGAAGCAATAATGATAACAGTGTGTCAAGGCGCGATGCCGAAGTTAGTAGTGCACCAAGCGATCCACGTCTGCGCCGACAAAAACCCAGTCGTTTCGAACCCTTAAATCCGGCGGATCAAATTAGTCGAAATTTGAATGTTAACAGCATGGATATGGGTATGAATAGCAATATCGGCGGCAACATGGGTATGAGCAGCAACATGGGCATGGGCGGCAACATGGGTATGAGCAGCAACATGGGCATGAGCGGCAGCATGGGAATGAACCCCAACATGGGTATGAGCGGCAGCATGGGAATGAACCCCAACATTGGCATGAGCGGCAGCATGGGAATGAACCCCAACATGGGCATGAGCGGCAACATGGGAATGAACCCCAGTATGGGTATGGGCGGCAACATGGGAATGAATCCCAATATGGGTATGGGCGACAACATGGGTATGAATTCTAATGAGGGTATGAACATGAATAGTGGTGATAAATTCATGCCGTCGCTAATGAACAACAACAACAACAACGACAGCGGCAGCAGCAGCACCAACATGACGTTCAACGACAACCCAATGCATAACAATTTTATACTCATGAAAAACTGTGACTACAATACGCGCATGAATGATATCGCTGAGTTATTACAGAGGGAATTTTTACGTCTGAAACATATTGAGCTCCTGCGTGGTGATCGCAATATGCCGACTGGTGAATTCATTGTCGAATTTCAAAATGAACGTGATGCCGAGATAGCCATACGCCAATTTAATAACTCGACGTTCCGGCAACGCAAACTACGCATACGTTCGATTAAGCCGCAAGAGATCGCTGACCGCATTGGCAAGCCTTTCATGAACTTTTATCCCGGCGGCGGCGGCGGTGGTTCAGGCGGACGTCCATTCGAAAGAAACCCATTTTCAGGCAATAGCAACAGCATGTCGCCGCTTAACGATGGACCGTCGTCGTCGACGATGCCTTTTAGCAGTAGCGCTGGCGGACGCTATGGCGATAAAAACATGAACAACGACAGCAACAGCAGCAACAACAACAATAGTCGTGGAGGTGGTCCAATGATGAATCGCGGTGGCCGCGGTAACATTGGCAGTGGTGGCAGTGGTGGCGGTGGCGCGGGTAGTAGTCGCAATGATCATATGGGCAGTGGTAGTATTCGGCATCGAGGTGGTCGCCACAATAATAGTGCATCCAGCCGTGATAGTCATAATTCCGATCAGGAGGAGGATATTCAAACCATCGATGACAGCAGCAATGATGTTACCAGCGCTGACAATGGCCCTAGCGGTAATAATGGTGATGAAAATGGCGGCATACCTGAAAAATTTGCGCGTCCCGGCTGTGTTGTAGCCATGGAGAATGTACCTTACAAGGCTGAACTTAATGACATATTGAAATTTTTCGCTGGTTTCGATCTTACACCCGATGACATTATAAGACGATTCAATGATGATGGTACAGCGACGGGTGATGCACGTGTGGCATTTGCAACACCATCTATGGCACGTACAGCATACAATTCACGACGAAGAAAACAGATTTTTAATCGGACCATACGTTTGGCATTGCTTTAGGATGGTGTGTAGAAAGAAGAGGGTAGTTGTGGTTGATTGTATATAGCGGGTGGGATCTACATATACATATGTACATATTTTAATGTATTTAAAACATTCATACATATACGTATGTATTAACTTATATGTTTAGAATTTAGTTGAAGGACGTCCTATTTGAGAATTCGTTTCAAAAACGCCCTATCTCAGCTGCCGATTCGGAGACGCCCTATATCAGCACATTTTCAATACAATTTGAAGTGAGATAGGGCATTTTTGAGCCGAATTCTGAGATACGCCGGATCTTCCACTCAGCAGTCGATATCGTCCCCCTTATGCCAGAGGCATGGATGTGTAAATTTACCAATTTTGAGTTATTGGGTTGACTTGGATGTTTTATGTTACACCAAAACCCAGAATACTAGTTAAGTACTAGGTTAAGATCTTCATTTAGTTAATGTTTAAAATATTTGTATTTTGTAAATACGAAAATACGCTGTATGAATGAGTTGATATCCAGAGCTATCACTGAATTCATCGTGGTACGAAAATGCGATCACTGCATTCACAGTTCGTTCGTAGCTATTCGGATTCAGTGATCGCATTTTCGTGGATTTCCCGAAAATCGGAGTACGGTAGATTCAACGATAGCCCAGATTATATTATTGGCAGTGGCATACCAAACTTTTCAAACATTTTTATACATACATATACTTATATACTAAGCTATTTATATTGCATTTGAATAAAAGATTTAATTTCTATTTAATTAAGACAGTTCAAAAACTACTTAGGGCCGCTTCCGCGGTGTAGAGTTAACTCTAATGTGGCTGTTAATTTTTGTACTTAAAATCGAGAGCTAACTGCCGAATAAGAGTTAACTATCCACTGTGAAAATGCATAAATTTTTTTTTTTAATGACAATGATGTTTTCATAGGGGTATTCCGTTTCCTCTCAAGCTCTTAACTTTAATTTTCTTAAATTTATCATCTTAATAGTATGTTTAAAAAAAAGGAATTATTAGAATAACACATACATACATACATATGTACATAGTACAATATTTTATATCACTTATTGCCACTTACGAATTATGTATGTACTTTAATATTTAGAGGTTTACACTTAAGTTCTATCTAATCGTAAATCACATAAAAAAAAATCATACATACATACATACATACTTATGTAAATAAGTCATATATTCTCAGTGTTCCACATTAAGTTTTTAATAAATAATAAATTGATACTATTTTACCATACACTTATTCGAAGTATCTAGTTGGAGTTTTATAGCCGGTTCAATGCTGACTTGGAGCAGCACCAAAAATTGGAGCTACTATTTATCACAAACAAGGCGTGTAGAAGAGAGCGCTCGTTATTTATTTTTTTTTTTTGTTTTAGCGGCGCTACTAAGCCCCGCCTAAGTCGGTTTGCCCATCAATCGTTGTCGTCAAGCTCAGCTAACGATAGCCCCAGAAAACGAGGCGTTTCGACGGAGTAGGACCAGAGGGAGAAGGAGATATCGAGGTGGAGTATGCATAAATAGGTATTTATGCGGTTATCGCGTGGCAGTCGAACCTCTGCATGACAAAGATGAAGATATCGCGCGTGGGTTGTCAATTGCAAGCAAATTGGTCTTCAGCTTCGTCTTCATCATCATTTTCAGCGTTGCTTCCACTCTGTTTTTAACTTGTACTAACTTGTGTAAATGTAGCACACCGCCAGAATCTGCTTGCATAGCGTAATGTTGTGCTTTTTCGTGAACGTTGATATACTGAAAATATGGTGGCAAGAACTGAAATCCGGTAAGTTAGTAACAGAACAGGGTACTTGAGGTTAAAGAACTTTTGTTACAAAAAAGTGTGTTCTCTAAATATCGATATACAACATCTTAAAATCCGATAGTAAACGCCGAAGACATAATGGCGTAAAATGTAAAAAGGCAATACCTTCGTTCGGCAAAAAAAAATCTAATTGCGTTGCAAAAATATTTTAGGCTCAGGAAATAGAGGAGTCTTTTCTAGAGAGCTGTCAATTAACCTGAAGTGGGTACAACTGACCTGTCCTCTTTGGAATCACCCTGGCTCTGATCATGCTTAACTTAGCATCTTTCAACATCGTAAGTAAGATTGCTGCAGCTAGAGCTGCAGTCAGACTTAGGGGCACCGGATGTTTAAAGGACTCAAGATCTAGAGTAGGGGAACTTTTCTGTATCTCTGATAACACGGATCACTACGTGACTAGGCTGGCACGAATTATCCCTTTTGCCAATCACACCTCTCTAGGGATGAGTTGATAGGGGATCTGGTTTACACGGCCAAAACGAAGCTTGACGAAAGGGCCGATGGTCGCGCCGTGAAACTCACCATCACTATTCAATTCAGGCTTTCAGTCCACTTTGGTGGATTTATGGCGGGGGTTGCTGCTATTAAGGAAGCAGCCGATTGGTTGCTGTTGGGCGCGCTGGATCGAAGGAAGGTTACATTTACTCTAGACAGGCGGCAACCAAAGTCTAGGACTCACTTACGGTACGCTCAAAGCTTGTTGGATAATGCCTTAACTTGCATTCGATTGCGTTGAACTATTATCGTGTTAGACTTGTATGGGTGCTAGGCCACAGTGATATCGCAGGGAAATGTGCTGCGGACGAACTGACCATACGGCACCCTCAAAGAAATACCGCCAAGAAAAGATAAAGTGGGAGCTCCCTTGATTACTTGTGTACTTTTATTGGAAAGATGAGACTCGGGTCAACTCAGCGAACGCTGGGGAAAAATCGGAGCTTGCTATACTGCAAGGTCCTTCTTGCCGAGGGTGGACCGGGACGATCTAGGTCTACTGATTGGCCACTGTACTATCGGCATTCACGCAAGCAGGGCTCGAATACGAGACGAGCAGTACGTTCACGACTGTCACTACGGCTTAGGCACTTGGGTTCGGACTTTTTGACTAGTCTCGCATCGATTGCTCTTTCTCAGGCATTTGTGTTTTTTCGTGAAGGTGACGCTTCGAGGTGGCAGCCTGGAGTCGTAATTGATCTGCTTCCTGCGAAGTTATAAGGTGTCTCCACAGCGTATTGCTGTGCTACTGGAGCAGTTAGTTTCCCACTGGCCAATCGTCTTGTATGTCACGAGTAATGTTTCACATCCCAAGAGCTTCCGGGAGGCGAGTCGGCAAGATAGATACCACAAACTTTGTAGTCCCTGTAGCTCAAGCCATTTGGCATCATCCTCCTACACGGCCACGGCAAGGCATATTTATAGCTGCCATCCATGAAACTAAGTTGCACAGCCACTCAACATTGTTGAGTTGCGCCGCCTACAATGCGCTCCGTAAAGAGCGCGAGCGAGACAGCGCTCATCCTGTACCACACTGCAAAGTATCGTCTTATCGAAGGGACCTTAATTTAGAGATTCGACAACTGGTAAACCCACATAGCGGTAAAAGTGGGATAAGCATTGGAAGACCTACAACTTCGCCTCTGGTGTGAGTAAGGTCTGGGCAACCGTGAGTTCCCTGTCTAATCGGACGATACATGCCGACAGAGTGGAAATCTTATTCGACGGTTACGCCACATTGCGGCTTTCGGCAAATAAAGCCAATCGTCGAGCGATCAGAAGGCTGCACAAACTGCCCAAAACCAGGTGGCCTTCGGGGAAAGCGTTCCGCAAAGTTTATGCGGAAACATTAGGGTCCGGCGGGAGTAGTTTATCTCACCAAGGTTGCCAATTTGTCAATGGCCACTCTCATCATTCCCGATGTGTGGATACCAGGTAGAGTGGTCCCACTCCTAATACCAGGGAAGCCAGAAAATAAAGGAGAGTCTTAGCGACAGATAACGCTCCCTTCCCCGGTGGCGAAGACACTTGAGGCCTTACTACTCCCGCATTTCACGTACAACTTCACCCCAGGGAAGCATCAACATGACTTCCGTAAAGTGCACAGCACAACAACAGCAATTAGCGCCATAAACACTCAAATGACTCGTCATTCCGCGCTTCTAGAAGATATTGAGACTTCCTCTCTCCCACAGGGACACAGACATTATATGAGTGGTTGGCCGTCCTCAGTAACCTCTTGGGATCAAATATAAAACCTACAAGAATTAATCAAGGGGTTCCAAAGGATGATGCCCTCTCATCCGTACTGTTTAACTTCTATATCTCGGAGCTGCCACTGGAAAGAATTGATAACCTCTGCTCGAAAGTAAAGTATTCCAAATGTTCTCGCTTCTTCAATGCACGCAGACTTCTCCCTCATGAAATCAAACGATCGTCACCACCTCGACGAAGGAGATCAGACATTTACGTCGATGGCATACCAAATGAAAATTTAGGGGTTACCTTCACGATGCAGCGTAGCAAAGTTGGCGCCGTCCGACATACCGCTACTTTGGTTTTGCCGATTTTAACAATTCTGGTCTACAAGTAAACGACGCCTCAGAAACTTTAAATGTACTGAAATTCACTAATACTTGCACAAAAATCACTATTTTTTCACATTTTCCTTATTCATTCTTATTGCAAATTATTATTTTTACAATTTAGCGCAATAAAAATATGTTTAGTGTCGAAAAAGTTAATATTAAAAAAATTTGATCATACATCAAGATAAACAACCGTTCAGTTATGGAAAAACTAAATAAGCAAATCGATAGTACTTTTTACGCTGATTTCAGTTGTATACATATGTAAATATTATTTGGCGCAATTGAAAAGTAAAGATATGAGGTTAAAACAAAGTTTGTGATATTTTAAAATATTTATATTTTCTAAACTACGTAACCGATTAAAAAGGTAGTGATGTCAGAATAAGGACAATTAATTTATCTTCAAGTTGATATATAAAATTTAAGCCAAAAATATTAAAAAACAAAAAACAAATTTTAATTTTTTCATAAAATAACCTTTTTTGGAAAAAGTGCATAATCAAAGCTAAAAAAATTTTATTATATAGAAAGTGCAAGTTCTTACCTTTAATTTGATATACATATTATTTTATTAGGAGTGTTCGCTATGGTAAGAAAACCTACCCGACATTACAAAAATAACAATAATAGATTTTTATTCACAATAATCCCTCAAAATGAGAATTTAATTAAATATTAAATTCGCCTTGGTCCCCCACATACATAAATATGTAACTCAAACCCGTGATTCAATGAATCATGACTCAAATCCACTCACACTTAAGCTATTGGTAGTTTTGTAACTGTACTATACTAGACTTTTTTAATTTCTCTCTACACAGCGGACATTCATCTCGTTCGTCTAGCCAATCCAATAAACAGTTCCAACAGAATAAATGACCACACGGTGTCAAGCTCGTATTAATACGTGGCTCCAAGCAAAGGATACACTGTGGCGCATCAGATTTTTTACGCTCCTCAATACCTTGATCTGTGCTGAGTAATGATCTTGTAGTGTTAGTAACTACTTCCTTTTGTTTTCTTCGTTGTTCCTTCCATGCTTCATATGCGTTTATTACTAATGATAGGGTAACCTGTAAAAATGTTACAACACCAAGTAATTTGTAGCCGTATAAGGAAAAATCAGGCTGCAGCCAATGACGTATCAGCACATAATTTATGCCTGTGAAGCGCTTCGAAATTTGGTATTTGTTAGAGCGTAGGTAGAAGAGCGATTTATGCAACGCTTTGATGTATTGTGGTGAGGAACGCATAACATGTATTGCAGTTAGTAATTTCTGCTTTGCCTCGGGTACCATTTCATCGTTATCCCTAATGGATTTTTCCAATTTCTGTAAAATTCGCAGATACAAAGCATCTCCACCAAATTCAAATATAATGGAAACCAGCTGAAGCTATAAATATTGCATAAAAAGTTGTAATTGTTTCAGGAGTTGTTAATTATTTGCTCAAAGTCAAGTATTTACCAAACGTGACGGAATGTTCATGTAAGCGCTATCTACTTGAATAGTTCCTGTGTATTCCTCGCCAAGTGTTTGTAAATTATTAATTGAAGCAAATCCATGATACGTGATTTCAGCAAAGAGCTTACACAACTGATGATACTTTATCCAGCTACGCGAACCGGTCAAGCGAAGTAAATCCGAAAGGTCTTCTGCAAGTTCATCCGTATACCTGGAATCCTTTTGCACGGACCGAACAATTTCTGGTTGGCGGGCTCGCGCATTTCTAAAATCCAAAGCAATTTGGCCACTGAATTTATGACGATGCAACATTTCACAAAATTCTACATAAAAGATTATACTACTCTGTAAATAGACCA